TCAGGAGCCAGACACCCTTCTTAAGGCACAGGCAGCATTAAAGGAAAGACTTGTTTCTGAGAGTAAGGCAGCTGCAGTTAGCAAAGAAAAAGGCAAAACAGCAAATTCTTGCAGATAAGAACTTAACTGGACAAAGAGAAATTCCAGGTCAAGCTGTCCAAGCTAAAAATTTATGATGCCATATCAATGGAGAAATGAGGTCTTAGTCAATTAACATGCCACGGTTGTAAAGAACTGGTTTGCAGAAAAGAATCATACACCATGAAGTCAGATTCTCAAGCCAGGGAATACTGTCTCTAACAGCTTTAAATTGCCTCCTTACTGAGTTCTGCCAATCTTTTCTTAAGCCTTGATGGTCAGTTTAGTATCTTACTGTTTACTCATGAGCTGCACACTTCAGTGGGAGTACAGAGACCTCAGGAGGAATGGAAGGGGGAGGGGGGAGTAAATGCCTGAAGCAGTCTGTGTTTCAGTTGAGTCTGATTCCCAAAGGCATGACACTTCCAATATGCAGAAAGGAAAATATTAAGTAGGTAGGAGGAAAGTTTTGCAGTGCACTGGAAAAATAATATTGAATAGTGCACATACACACACACTTGTATACACCCCTAATTCGTATGGTTTTTTATGGAGAACTATATCACATAAATCATTATAACAGCTCTCTGAAAGACAAAAAGGACTAGTAAAAAATGCAAGGAGGGACACATACCTAAGGCAGAATACCAGCATATAGCCCAAATCTACAAAGATGAAGTCAGGAAAGCTAAGGCTCAAAACAAATTAAGTCATTTGCAACAAATGTCAAAAATAATTTTAAAAAGTTTCTTTCAACATATAAAAAAACAAGAAAGAAAAATCAAGGAAACAATCAATTAATGGGGAAGATTGCAAGGAGATGACAGGTAGCAGGGAAGAGCAGAACTGCTTAATTCATTCCTTGCATCTGTCTTTACATAAAAGGAAAAAAAAAACAGTTAAATCTACCAAAGCACTATCATAAATGACATATTAGGAGTACAAGTCAAAATAGGCAAGAAAATGATAAGACAGCACCTATCTACTCTAGATGAGTTCAGATCACTGAAAAAGATGGATTACAGCTAGTGGTGGGTTTCAATTTCTTTTACTATGGCTTGGTGGGCATGGCATAGCTTGGTGGGCATGGCAGGAGAAGGATACTGTAAAATCTTCATTCCCTTCCCACTCCAAGGGAAGGTTACTACAAAATCCCCATTTCCTCCCGATCAGCTGGGACTCAGAAGGCATAGAATAGATGGGAGCGGGGCCAGTCAGAATTTTTACTACCGGTTCTCCGAACTACTCAAATTTTCCGCTACTGGTTCTCCAGAACTGGTCAGAACCTGCTGAAACCCCCTCTGGTAGGCAGCTAACGAGTAGGCTAGCTTAGTCGCTCAACAGTGAGATACTGGTGAATCAGGGACATCAGTGGGACGATTGAGAGCATCCTGTCATATTGCATTACTGTCTGGTTTGGAAGCATTACTGCTTCAGACAGGTCAGTGCAGAGAGTGGTGAGGATGGCAGAAAAGATCATTGGAAGTTCATTTCCTTTTATCCAGGACATAGCATATAAGCACTGCTTGATCTGGGTCAAGAGGCAGAGAATAGATGGGGGTGGGGCCAGTCAGAATTTTTACTACCGGTTCTCCAAACTACTCAAAATTTCCACTACCGGTTCTCCAGAACTGGTCAGAACCTGCTGAAACCCACCTCTGACTACATCCCAGAGTTCTGAAGGATCTATCAAATGTGATCTTGGAACTACTGAACCATATTTTTCAGAGCTCCTGGAGCACTGAAGAACTACTAGAGCCCTGGAAAACAGTGGATATTTTTCCCATCTTCAAAAAAGGGAAAAAAAATGAATCCAGGAAACTATATACCAATCAGCCAGACATCAATACCTGAGAAGATCCTGGAAAAGATAATCAAGCAATGGATCTGTGAACAACTAGAAAGTCGAAACAAGCAAAGTTATTACTGGAAGCCAACATAGGTTTAAAAATCTTATTGCATTCTTTGACAATGTGACTAAATTAGTGGAGCAGCGAAATCTCTGAACATTGTATACATAAACTTCAGGCATTTAAGAAAGTAGACCATAACCTAGTTCTTGGTAAGATAGCATCACCACCAGATGGATTCATAACTGGCTGACCAACTGCACACAATATGTAGTCCTCAATAGAACTGCATCTACATGGAGGGAAGTATGCTGTTAGATACTGCAAGGTTCTGTGTTAGGCCCAGTATTCTTCAACATTTTCATAAATGATTTAGATGAGGAGATAGAAGGGAAATTCATTAAATTTGCAGATGACCACCAAGCTGGGGGGAAAAGCCAAAACTTTAGAATATAGACTCAAGATCCAGAAGATATTGACAGACTGGAGCCCTGGACCCTATCCCACAAAATACAAGTCAATGATTAGAAAAGGTTTTTTACACTTAGGCAAGAAAAGCCAAATATACAAGTATAGAAGAGGTAGTATGTTAACAGCTATAACTGAGAAGGTTCTAAGTGAAATCAGAGTGGCACAATTGCAATGGATGCATCATTACATGACCTGAAAGATCAGATTATGGACAGATTGCCATGGAGGTAACATATCTATGTGGTCACTAAAAGTTGACATTGACCTGATGCAAAATCTAAATTCCAGGAAAATCTTCCCAGATTCTAAATGAGTGCTGCACTTAAAATACAGGAAAGAACTTGGAATAGCCCTCTCAAGGCAATAAGTCATTGTATGCACATGATATCTAAATCACTGCATGAACATATCTGGGAGCATATACTTGGTACTCATATCAAACTTGAGGAATATATTTAGTTTTGGAAACTTTTATGGCACAAATATGTATTTGCTTCCTTTGGTGCAAAAGAAATCCAATACGGCCTTAGTGCTGTGATTACTCTTATCAGAAATAGATTTGATTTGTTTGTAACTGATTCCTGAGGATTGGAATAGCGTGTCAAGATATTTGGAGGATGAATATGAAATTAGTCTTTATATGTCCCTGATGTTTGTGAATTTCTTTCACAAGAAGACAATAATTTTGGTTAGAATCAGGGGTGGGTTCTACTTACCTTTACTACTGGTTCGCAACGGGGCCGTGTGCGCTCGCTTGCTTCGCGTTTTGATGATGTCGGGGTGGGTGGGTGGAGTCTCCCGCCGGTTTTACTACTGGTTCTATAGAACCGGTCTAAACCGGGGGCAACCCACCACTGGTTAGAATAATTCATTGTTAGCCTACCCCCCAGTAATCCACTTGGACCCATAGACAGGTAGGCACAAAACCTAAATATGTAATGTAAGTAAGAGTCATAAGGAAGCATAGCTGCTGACACTGGTTGACTAGGGAGGTCTGGAATTGGTTCCTATGTATGTGGCTTAAATATATAGGATTGAAATTCTAAGATTTGCAGATTTATATGCAAAGTTGTCAGGACATAATAGGCCAGTAGTTTTTTCCACTACTAATTATCTTATTTAGATACAATAGGACTAATTTATATCTTGTCTTTTTGAAATTCAGCACTATCTGGACAAGCCCATAATTTTATCATCGATAATATGGCTCCTTCTGATACATTGAGAATGATGTTTACATTGCACTGGAGAAGAGAGATATACTTCTGTGCACTGCTTCCAATGAAAATTCCATCATTGTGTCTATTGTCAATCACAGGGGAAATAAGCTAATATTCTTTAACTGTAGTACGATATCACAACTGATATTCTTAGAAAGGCTTAGTTTAAGAATAAATTTGAAATACTGACATGGCATGATCAAGTCTTATCTTTGTTTACTGCCTGCCATTTCATATTGGTAATTCAGAAAAATGAGCAATAGTTCTGCAGAAATAAAAACACCATACAAATAAATTGTAAGGTGATTTACAACTACAATTGTGTTGCTAGGCAAGACAGTTAATTGTTAAGTGAATTTTGCCCCATTTTACAACCTTTCTTACCAAAGTTGTTAAGTTAGTAAAACATTTGTAAAGTGAATCTGGCTTCCTTTTGACTTTGCTTGTCAGAAGATCACAAAAGGTGATCCTATGAGCCGTGGATACTGCAACCATCATAATTATGAGCCAGTTGCCAAGGGTCCAAATTTTGATCATACGACCATGGGGATGCTGCAACAGTTGTAAGTGTGAAAAATGGTGAGAACTCACTTTTTTCAGTGATGTTGTAATTTCGAAAAGTCGAAATGAAAGGATATAAGTTGAGGACTACCTGTTCCCGAAATATCCTAGAATGGTATTTTCTGCAGTGATTATTAGGCTGTTGTAGATGCTCCAAAAGTTTCACATTCACATTTTTTTCTCCTGTTTTATCTAATTTAAATTAGCTTATGGATAAAAAATAAATTAACAGAAACAGGAGTGGGGGGAAGGAATCATGTTACCAGGTATGAAAGATCAGATCCACAGGTGAAGGTCCAATTAAACTGATTTATTGCTAGTCATGCTTTGCACAAAAATTTTGTCAACTAATGGTTAGCATCTACTTGGGGTTAGATAAGGTCAATGGCAGATTGGAGTTATTTTGCTTGTGGCTACTAAGGATTCTGGGTTAGTCCCTCATTTAACTCTTCCCCCAGGTTCTGCAACTCCATTTCCCACAAAAGCTTTTGAATCAAATAGGACTTGGTGATTCTCTGCCATTATTCATTCTGCAATACTAACAGTTGTATGATTATGGAGCCAATAAATGTTCAGCTTTGTTATTGCATCACAACAATCTATTTTGTGGAACTAGTCAAAGATGGAAATTGTATTTTGCTTAAAATGGAAGCATTAATACAAATAAATTATAGCAATTGTAGTATTAAGGTTGACAGAATTAACAATCACATGCCCTCTTTCTACTACTATATAAATCTTTCTCCCCCAACCCCATTTTTACTGTAATATCTTTTCTTCATATAGTAATTATGTTTTGATTCTCATTTCTCCTTTACAGTGCTGCACTCCCATGGTCCCGTTGATGGTAGCCTTTATGCTAAGGTGAGGAAAAAAAGCTCCTCTGATACCAGCATTCCAAGCAGAATCAAAGGTGCCGCAAGTAATAACTCTGATCATAGTGATCATACCCTATCTGTGAGCAGTGATTCAGGACATTCTACAGCTTCTGTACGGACAGAAAATACTGAGGAACATCCTCCCGGAGTAAAACAAATCTTGAGTCCCCGGGAAAAGGAAGAACTCGATCAATTGCTTAGTGGCTTTGGCCTAGACAACTCGATCATTCTGCTCATGGATATGACTGATGCCCAAAGCAAATATAGTGGAACTCGTCATATAGTGCCAGCCCAAATTCATGTGAATGGAGATGTCAAACACAAGGAAAGAGAGACAGATATTCTAGATGACGAGATGCCCACTTATGATCTTCACAGTGTGGATAGTATTGGAACATTGTCTTCCTCTGAAGGTCAGCAGTCTAACCACCTTGGAAATTTGAGCTGCCATAAAAGTTGTCAGAATTCCCTCCTGTCAGATGGCTTTGGAAGTAATATTGGAGAGGAACATCATAACACTCTGGCTGCAGATCTGGGAATTAATGTTGACTCTGTGTATGAAAGGCCCTTTGGAAGGACTGATACAAAAAGCTGTCAGGAGCTGACAAAGAATCCTCCAGTTTCCACCCACCCATCCTATAGCGCCAGTAGCTATTCAACTCAGACATGGGTGCGCCAACAGCAAATGGTAATTGCTAATCAGTATATCAGTTCTCCAGAGAATGAAGTTGGATTTGGTATTCATAACATAGTTGCAAATGTGGAAAACCTGGAAAATCAAGCCAGAGTTCCAAATATGCTTCTCCAAAGTTCCAGCCGTAGGAGTGAGGTCCAAAGGAGGCTTGGGAATATACCATCTTCTAGTAATGTGGTTGAAACATCTAAACCAGAGGTTTCTAAATTAAGATTTCTCTCTGAAAAAAGTGCAAATAATAATGAGTTGAAACAGAATACAAGAAGCATTGCTGGAGTTTTGCCATCTTCACCAACTTTGGATATTGATCAGTCAATTGAACAGCTAAACAGACTAATTTTGGACTTGGACCCAACATTTGAGCCTATTCCTACTCGCATTGATGCTGTCAACACAGATTCAGATCAGCTGAATGGCTTTGTCAGCCCTCAAAGAGATGAAGAAAGGCTTGGGAGGGGCTCTAGGTTCCATGTGAAAACTGAGGTCACTACCAAAAACTCATCCCAGCAGGGTGAGTTGTTTTAAATACTATATTAATGCAATGTGATTTCTCTTCTCTTCTACAAAAAGCTCCATTTGATAGTTAATAGTATGACTAACTATGAAAATACCATCTTGAGCAATGGAATGTGTGTGAATGCCTTCTTTTCATAGACCTGTGGAAGGAATAGTCGTTCATTTTTTATAATTAACTGATTTTTCTCCACCTCTCATATGAAAAGAAGTTTAGCCTTAAAAGACTATCTTTGTATGCTTCATTATATTACACATTCTAATTATGGCAAATTGAATTCTAAACCTGGAAAAATGAATTGCCAGAACCTGGTGCACCAATCACAGCTCTTACTTAGCATCCCCCCCTCCTTTTTATTCTTCTTATTTTTGTTGCTAGATGCTTCTTAAGAAATGGTGGCAAGAAAGGAGGGAAAAGATGATTTGTCAGGCAAATATTAGCTTTTTAAATTTGAAAGAATTAATCTCTGCAGTGCCATGATTAAATTGTGAAATAATGCAACTAATCTAAGACTCTTCCCGGCATGCACATATTGGCTGCTCTTTCAGTTTCTGGTGCTCCTAGGTGCATGAAGGACAGCTGGCTGGTGGACCAGAAAAGGAAAGGGAGCAGAGCTGCCCACTAGAATGGGTGAGCTAGGGCTTCCCTCCTTCCCCCTCTGCCCGAGTGGGCTTCTTGCACGGCCCCAGCCCACCAGCCCATAGCACCATCCATGGTCCAGAGTGCCTGGCCAGCTTGGGCGCACGGGCAGCAGGGCAGCATTTGCTGGCTGGGTGACCGGCTGCCCCGTCCATTGTTCCTGCCCCTGTGAGGGCAGAGGGGACAGCAGTGGTTCTCATGCTACCATGTCTGGCCAGGATGTTGGAGCAGCCAGGAAGAAAAAGAGGAGGAGCCACCATCGGGGAGGTGAGCTGCCCTAGGGGGGCCAGAGGAGAGGGTAGCATGGAGACACCACCTAGTGGTAAGAGGCGTGCTGGGCTGGGAAGCAGGAAGGCGCCAAGCCTAGCTCCAGGAACGCCGATACTGCTTATCTCTGAGGTTGGGAAGAGGCTCCGGCTTTCCAGCGAAGGGAGGCAGCATTCCCCGTCCAACTTTCTCTCTCTGTCCAGGGCTGTGGAACTGGGTCATTGGTGGGGATGTCCTGCTACCCTGACGGGGACCAGGGGGCGGGCAGGGAGATGCAAGGACCCCCAAAAGGCAAGGCGGAGCCGGTGCATGTGCACGAGACAGCTGATCTTCGTGTACGCATACACGTCAGAAACCAGAAGACCAGGTGGCCGGCACACATGTGCACATCTGAAACCAGAAAATCATCTGCTTTTCGTTGTGCTGAAAAGGTTCACGTGCACTCCCGTTTTGGCACTTGCTGCCAAAAACGTTTGCCAACACTGCTCTAGGACATTTTTATTGACACTCAATACAGATTTTCAAGAAGAGATTGGATAGCCATTTATCTGGAATTGGAGCAGCTTGAGCAGGGGGCTGGACTAGAAGACTTTCAAGGTCCCTTCCAACCCTGTCATTCAATGCTCTTTTTGTATAATAATCATCAGATGTAAAGAAACTGTACTGAAAAACTTTTGTTGGCTTAAATGAGCTTCCTCTCCTCTCCTTTCCTCTCCCTCACTTCCACCCCCCCTTCCTTCCTGTAAACACCCATCTATTCATGGAACTTTGGTGAACAGAAATAAAAACTAAACTATGCAATCCAAAATAATAGATATTGAACAAACTAACTATCCAATCCAAAATAAGATGTGTCAAGACCCTCCAAATGTTTCATTATAGATATCAAACTACATCCACACTAGAACTCATCCCTGCTCAAAATTTGTGGGAAGAGTCAAATGTTCACAACTTTTGAAAAGACCAACAGGGATGGAACTGTCTATATATTAGGAGGCTATCTCAAAACAGGCCTCATGATAAAGAATGCACTTCTGGATACCCACCTGGTGAAACTGCTTCACCAATGAAACTGCTGGAGCATCCATCTAGTGGGATGGGCTAAACCTATTAGGCATAATTTCCAGTGGTGGGATTCAGCCGGTTCACAGTGAACTGTAGCTAACTTTTTGAGCAGTTTGGTGGGCTATGCCCCTTGCCCCTCCCAGCCATTTGTTTCAGATGAGGCTGATATGTCCAACAATGGTTTTGACTGGGCTCCCGGTGCTGGTTGAGGCCCAGTAGATGGTGATCCATTGGCCCTGGATAGCGGGGCTCACTTGGGAATTGGAGGCAGCTGCGGCAGTTTTGGAACTCCCAAGCAGCTCAAGCAGGGGTTCGTGTGTTCTCAGGAGCGTCTTTGGCCACCCCACCGGGCACCAACACCACCTCAGGTACTGTGCTCCATTGCTTCATTGCCAAACCACTTCGCTCCCAGCATCCTGGCTAGGAGACCGCTTGCCCGCATGGCCAGGAAGCCACATGGCCAAGCTGGCCGAGAAGCCGCACTGGCTGGGAGGATGCTCACCTGCCTGGCTGAGAAGCCACCTGGCCCCACTGGTCAGGAGAACGTTCACCCCCCTGACCAGAAAGCCGCATGGCTGTGCTGGCTGGGAGGACACTTGCTCCCCTCACCAGGAAGTCTCATGGCCACACTGGCTGGGAAGACACTCACCCGCCTGGTTGGGAGGACACTTGCCTCCCTGGCTAAGAAGCCGTATGGCTGTGCTGGCCGGGAAGAAGCTTGCCTGCCTGGCTGGGAAGCTGCATGGCTGCACTGTCTGGGAGGACACTCACCCCCCTGGCCAAGAAGCCATATGGCTGTGCTGGCTGGGAAGACGCTCACCTGCCTGGCCGAGAGAACGCTCACCTACCTGGCTGAGAAGATATATGGCTGTGCTGGCTTTAAGACACTTGCCTACTTGGCCGGAAAGCTGCATGGCTGTGCTGGCTGGGAGAACACTCTCCCCACTGCCCAGGAGGCTGCCCAACCACCTGGCCAGTGTCAGAAGAAAGGATTCCTTGTGGGACAGAAGTTTTTTCTACAAGGAAAAGCATACAGAAACCAGTTTGATCATAATTAATCCTAATATTATATCCCATATTTCCCACAACTAGAAATTTTTAAATTGCATACTTGTAGCATAAGTACATAAGTAGATTTCTTTTATTATTTAGTAGAAACAAATTCTATTTTTTTTTTAAAATTTGATTTATATGCCGCCCTTTTCCGGAGACTCAGGGCGGCTTACAGTGCATTAAGCAATAGCCTTCATTCTTTTGTATGTTTTTATACAAAGTCAGCTTATTGCCCCCACAAACTGGGTCCTCATTTCACCTACCTTAGAAAGGATGGAAGGCTGAGTCAACCTTGAGCCTTGGAGAGATTCGAACCAGCAGAAATTGCAGGCAGCTGTGTTAATTACAGGGTGCACTAAACCCCTGTACTATCAAGGCTCTTCCTATTAACAAAGGAATAAGTAGGGGGTGGGAAATTTGGAGGAGCTGAAATTGCTATTCACTTCTTGCATTACCCCCAGCAGTACCTTAGAATTTAGAATGAAAATAAAAATATTGGACTCTGTTTCCACACAATTACCTTGTTCTTATTTTCCAATTATTTACATAAGCTCATGTGATGACTTTTCCTACAAACTGTTCGTGTTGACTGTTTTGATAGGCTGTCTGAATTTGCAGAAAGGGTCCTCTGAGAAGGGTGGATTTGAGTATTAAAAAAGAAGACAGAGAATGGTGATTTAATGACTTATCTATATGTTTTACCAATTATCTGAGGCCTGGGGTCCCCATTTGCACCACTCAGAAGGCCAATGTATGCCTGTACATACCTCACTAGTTGCTTGGCAATTTATCTACTCCACCTGTGGTTATATATTCTTCAAAATATGTTTAAACTTTTTTAAAAAATGGGAAGCTGACTTGCCACAAAGCAAAACACCATCCTCCAGAAAAATTATTTATTTCTTTATTTATATTCCATCATTATTTGTATAAGTAATTCATAGTAGCAAACATTCCAAATATCCCTCCTCCTATTTTCTCCACCACAGTCCTGTGAGGTAGGTTAGGCTGAGAAAAGGAATGACTGGCCCAAAATCAGCCAGTCAGTTGTAAACTCACTGAGCCATTTCTGAACTTTTCTGCCATGTGAAAAAGAGAGCTATCTGCAGCCAGTGTTTTGTTTAGAAGTGCATCCACCTGTCTTGAAAAAGTAGAGAAATTATAAACGTAGGACTGTGCATTGCTATGGTGGACAGGGATGCATTTGTCTGCACTTCTTTAAACAAAATATGGCCTTTTCTGGGGAAGAAAGGCAGCTGCATAATCCCAGGAAGCTGCATAATCCCAGGGAAAAAATGCAGCTGCCTTAAAGAATTGCAAACAGATGCAGCATTCCTTTCTCTGTGCACTCCAAAATATTTTTTTTTTGCATTTGAATCCAAAATGCAGTGGTACAGTACAAGAGGGAAAGTAAGAATACACAATTAAGAAATGTTATTTGAAGTAGGTGCTTTGTAAATTTATCTGTGGCAAGACTTCCCAGACACTGTTTTGCAAAAGCATTCACAACAATAAATGTGCATCAGAATGAGTGGTGGGATTCAGCTGGTTCAGGCCGGTTAACCGGTAGCTAAATTGCTGGCTGGCTCTGCCCCCTCCCTTCCCACTCCCTTCCAGGAGTCCCCACATGGCCCATTTTCGTTCCAGGAGACTTCAGGGAGGCCTCCTAGGCCCAAAATGGGGTCAGGGGGGCGGCGATCTCCCCGCAGCCTATTTTGGTTCCTGGGGGGGGGCAGGAGGCCAAGTGCTGCCTGACCCCCTGGCCACGCCCCACCATGGCCATGCCCACCCAGCCAGGGTGGGTGAGAGAGCTGGTTGCTAAATTATTTGAATCCCACCACTGTTCAGAATCCAAATATAGGGTTCCAACTTTAGGTGACATGCATGGCTGCTTATTTTGTTTCTATTACAGTAAAGAAATGAATGAGAAATCATTATTTTTTATAATTATTCCTGAAGTAGTGTGTGTGTAAAAGGCAGCACTGATCACTGATCATAACAGCCCAAGAACAGGCACTAAGCACCAAATCCATAGAAGCAGGGATTTACCACACTAGATAGAACCCAAGGGATAGATCAGTGTCTCTCAGCTGAAAGATGTATGGACTTTAACTCCCAGAATTCTCCAATCAGCCATCAAGGAGTTTCCACAGAAGATTGTGGAGAACAGAGCTAAGAATCTGTGGGAATTCCAGATCCAGAAGGACAGACAGGCATTAGGTAATCAACTGGACACTGTAGTAGTAGACAAATTAATAAAGACCAGAAGAGCTTGGGAGGCCAGGCAAGCGGGGCGTGGCAAGGTGCCCCTTGACGTGAGTAATGTCGAGTTGGCCATACCCACCAGGGGTATGGGTTTCAAAATCCGTCCCTACCAGTTCAGTCGTGGATGCGCGCGCAATACTTTGGCGCATGCCCAGAAGTGTCCGGGCGAGTGGGCGGAGCCTCCCACCACTACCACTACTGGTTCGCCTGATGGAGGGCGAACTGGTAGCAATCCACCACCGACGCCCACCAGTCACATGACCACCCAGTCACGCCCACCCAGTCACATGATCACCAAGCCATGCCCACAGAACCAGTTGTTAAAAAATTTGAATACCACCACTGATCATTTCTATATCATCCCTTTCTTAAGAAAGACCCTGACAGACAGCAAATAACCAGTCTAGTCCACTAAGTGGGCTGGCTTGATCCCGTCCTCTCAGTTTTAATTGATTCGGTTTTAATTTGGGTTGTTTTAAATTATTTGGGCCAAAATTATTTAATTGTTTTAAAATTGTTTTTTAAATTTTGTATACAATGTTTTATTTTGGCTGTGCACCGCCCTGAGTCCTGCAGGAGAAGGGCGGTATAGAAATAAAAATAAATAAATAAATAAATAAATAAAGTGAGATTATAAAAATCTGTTCAAACTAATTATTTCTCTAATGTCATATTCTGTTGGCATAATTGTTGGTCAGACAGAGGACAATAAAAAGTCCATATGTGAAAAATCCTCCCATTCAGATCTTTCATAAACATATTTGAAAAAATATCATTTTTCCATTCTGCATTTAATTATATAAACTGCATTGTGAATGCTATCCTATATGCACCTTTTTTTTTTTTTGCTAAACTAAAATTACTCCAAGATTATAATTTACAAGGAATTACAGGCTGTTGATAAATTTGGTTGAATATTCTACAATTTTTCAAACTATGATAACTAGAACTATATACAGGTCTATTAAGTGCAGGACAATTTTAAAAAAAAGACTATTGGCAGAATAATAATAAGAAATTATTTTTAATTCCTTGTTAATACTTTATTCCAAACAGTTTGTTTCAGCAGCAGCATAATGAATCAATATTCTTATTCTTATCTTACATGATACACAACTCAAAATTATTGATTCTTAAATTATCAGGCATTAATACTGCAGATCAAATTAGTATTTAAGTCAGGATTGTTTCTACCATGTATATCACTTTATCAGTGTTTAACTGAATATTTGACATTTTAATCATTTCCTTTGAAAATATTTATTTTTGTTCTTTTATAATAATTGTATTAAATATTATAATTACAATAAAAATTCAAAAATAGAAGAATAAAAGAGTAGAATATCAGAAAGAGAAGAACAGAAATAAAAAAGAAATAAATATAAATATATAGTAAATAAAAATATATAAAGAAGTTCTTTGCAAATATCAACAATTTAGTAATTTATCATTTCTTAATATACAAGAAATGATCACTTCTTGCCATATTCCATTTCTTATCTATATACAGTTCTATATAGCATCATCATTTCTGTTCTAATATCAGCCTACTAAGGATTAGTATAAATCTGTTAAGGCTTATGAGAGATAATATACCTATTTTAACTTTGATCCAATAAACCAACTTTATATTCCTTTCTCTTATTTCTAACTATCCTAATGTTTAAGCTGTTTGAATAACATTGTTGATTTTCTTACTTTTTAAAAAAAATTCTTCTCACAAAATTCTTCAAAATCTAAATAAGGCCCTTTTGTAAATCCAATATAGAAGAGCTGTCCAAATAACTCCCTTGGTTGGTTGATTATACATCCATTTTAATTATTAAGACATCAGCCAATTTTTATATGTCCAATTTAGTATCTTTTTCCATGTCATTCTTATAGAAATCCACTTTTAATTCAATCTCTGTCTTGCTATGTACAACATACTCCTTTTCCATAACATTTTAGACTTAGTTTATCTGTAGTGGCAGATGCTATTAAAATTAACTTCTGAATCCATTGTTCAAAAATATCTTTTAATGCTTTTCTTTTTCTTGTTCCTTTTCCATTACACTTTTTCCTCTCCTACTTTCCCACTACTTTCTTTCTTTTTTCTATTTTCTATTTTGATAAACCAATTAATTTTTTTAATAAAATCCTACAATACATCCAATGTTAAAATATTATGCTTCATTTTGTAATTGAAAATCAAATTGAAATGTTCTTATCCTTTAAATGTAATGGTATTTAGCTTTAATTCCATCTAGTGTCCATTTTTTAAAATCCTATTATTTTTGAAAACCAAAGCATTTTTCATGGGAAAGATTCTTTGTAATCAATTCCAAAATCTTGGTGGTTAGAATGCAGTATTGCAGGCTAACTCTGCTGACTGCCAGATATCCAACATTATCCTCATATTATCTTTTAGTTGTCTTCTGCATAGAAAATCACACTGATTTTGATGTAGTCTCGCAAAATTTTGTTTAGGTTTTCAGTTAAAATAAAGAGTTTATAATTGTTATGAAAAAGAAAAATTGGCTTGTAATTCTTCACAGAAGTTAAGTTCTGCCTTTTTTTTTTGGGTTTTAAAGATATGTAGGCATCTTTCCACAAATCCAGTACAGATTTTCCCTGTAAAATTGAGTTAATTAAGTCCTTCATCAGAAAAAGTAATTGCTGTTCAAAAATTGTATAGATTCCACTTGATAAACCATCAGGTCCCAGTGCTTTACTTGTCTTAGCTCTTTTAATTGCTTCTGTTATTAAGATTGTTATTGGATTATAGTTTTTTGATTATAGTTTTTTGATAATTTAGGAAGATTTTGAGTTGATATGTAATCAATACTTTCTAAAGAGATTTCCCATTTCTTATATAGATTAATATAATAGTTCAAAAATATTTGAATATTTTTATTATCCATTTTTATCTTCAGGTTTTCAAGATGATGGCATATTAAATGGAAAAAACAAGAAGTTAAATCCTGAATTTTATGACAATGATATCTCAACACAGTCAATATGCAGAAAGTATATATGGACAAAATCTGATGTCCCTGACCATTCTTTAGGACAGGACATTTTTGCGTCTGCAATAAAAACCAAACAGGTAGGGGGGAAATGATTAAAATAAATTGGCGTACTTGTCCCAATTTATTTTTTTAAAATAGTAATATTTTAAAAGAAGTGAAAAATATTTCAAATTTTAAAATGTGATCTGTGTATGCTGTTACTCTATAAATGGCAACCAATAATAATCTGTTACCAATAAAGGGAAATATTTATAGTTCAGGGTTGAATTAAGGGGTTGGTGGTGGTTTCTGAGCTTGCTTGTTTTCTTGAGGATGTTTCATTACACAAATTACGTTACTTGACAGAGGCTTGCCCTATCAGGGTTGGTGGGAGTGGTCTTGAAGTTTCGTTGATTGGACTGTTTACTATTAGCTTGTTTAATAGTCCCTTCATTGGAGTATTGTTTGCTTGTTGGTTTGATATTAATCTTGATCAGGGGTGGGATTCAGCCAGTTTGGACCGGTTTGGGCGAAGTGATGTTAATTTTAATCTGGTTCGCCAATCAGTTGTTGCAAGGACTGGCTGACCCCTCCTACCCCACTGCTCCCTTCCCAGGAGTCTCCATGCAGCCCATTTTGGATGCCAGGTAAGTGCAGGCCCTGCGTGGAGGCTTTTGGTGGGTGAAAAATGGGTCTACCAGAAGTTCTGGAAGTCTGGAAACAGGCCCATTTCCGGTGTCTGGAGGGCCTCTGGAGCCCGGGGGAGGCTGTTTTGACTATCCCAGAGGCTCGAGGAAAGCCTCCGGAACCTGGGGAGGGCAAAAAACGGGCCTACCAGAAGTACTGGAATTCTGAAAACGGGTCTGTTTCCGGCCTCCAGAGGGCCTCCGGAGCCCGGGGGAGATGATTTTTGTCCTCCCAGAGGCTCAAGGAAAGCCTCCAGAACCTGGGGATGGTGAAGAATGGGCCTACCGGAAGTACCGGAAGTCTGAAAATGGGCCCATTTCTGGCCTCTGGACCCGGGGGAGGCCATTATCGCCCTCCCAGAGGCTTGAGGAAAGCCTCCGGAGCCTGGGGAGGATGAAAATGCCCCCCCCCCCGTGGTGCAGGAGGCTGAGTAGGCCACACCCACCATGGCTATGCCCAGCCAGCAACTGGGCAGAGAACCGGTTGCTAAAATTTCTGAATCCCACCCCTGATCTTGATGCTAATCTATGCACATCTGAGTGTTGATTGCTGGTGGAAAGGTATTTGGTCTTTTTGATCCAACAGGGACCAGGGAAGCCATTAGAATATAAACTGAGAGCAAATCCTACTTGTTACTAGTACTGATGATGTTACCTAGTTCATATAATGAAACGTCTGCAAGAAAATCACCAAACTCAAAAAGCTCCAAGGACTCCTCAGAAATCTGTTATCCTGATTTTGGTCCTGCTAGAATGGGAATGAGGTTGCATCTCAAATTAAAAGTAAAGAACAATGAAATTTTGATATAATGTACGATGGTGTTCCTTTGCCAAATTATTTCTCTGGACTTCCACATATTTGTATGCAACTCTGGACACTTTTTAAAAAGGCATATAATACATATTAGTTGTTTTCTTCTGTTAATAGAATGCTTTTTGGTATGTTCTTTGACAATCACTTAGCTCCTTGCATTACTAATTTATTTTTCAATTATTAAAAAATGAAATGGGACTTTAAATGCTTGCAACAGTGCAATCTTTCTTAAGAGTGTGCCAGCCTCCAAAATAATTTTTATTTCCAAGTGGACTTCTGAGTTTCAAGTGGACCCCCCAGCCCAGACATTCTCGGAATATAAAAATGGCAAATAGCTAGAGCTACCACTTTGTTTGAAAATGTACAGCTTAGTCCAGACTAAAAGAAGAATAAAGGTAAATTTGAAAGTGGATTGCTGAGCTCCACAAAGCATTCAAAAGAGACAATTCATGAAGTATGTTGGTTAAATGAAGCATCCCCTCGTCCGAAGCATTAAAGCTGGCACACTCCAAAGAAAGCTTGCACTGTTGCTTCAAAGATTTTCCAAATTTCTTTGCACACAAATGCATGCACAAATATTTTGCTGACAGTTTTAGCAAAGATTTTGTCTATGTATATGTATTGTTGCAAAGACAACTAGGGCAAACCTTGAAGTGTGCATGCATGCGCATGCACGTATGCACTCACCTCTCCTTCTGCATCCATTTTAATTCAAGTAATGTTTTGTAACTGACTACACTGACAACCAGTTTGTCACAGCACTCTCAACATGCTTCAAACTTCCAAATGTAACACGAAACCCCATGATTCCTGATAAGGTTATGTCAGTTCTTTCGTTTGCATGAAGACATTTTAGTAAAATAAAGAGCAAACACTTTAAAGGATTAGCGTCGGGGTTAGGGTTATGATATCTGTTTGAAGGATTTTAATAGATTGAATATTGGGCCTGAACAAAATGCTGTTCAATAGTGAGAAATGATATAAAGATAAAATAGGGCTTTGCATTATTACTTCTGAGAAGAATCAGAAGGCTAGCATGAGATAAAAATCTTCCAGTATCTGAAGAGATATCACAAAGAAGACAGTAGGGATATTAATTAATGCCTGAACCTAGGACAAAAATTGGTTGGTGGAATCTTTAGAAAGCAAGATCAAATGAAATAAAGTGGAATTTTCTGAATATGAGAGCTATTAAGTAGTGGAACAGTCTACCTCCTGTAGCCAGGAGTGCTCCATCCCTGAAAGTTTTCAAGTAAACATTAGACAATCATTTGTTTGGGATAGATCGTGCATTAACGAATTGCACGATCTTCTTTATGATTCTATTATTCACCTTTGCCACATTATACATATGGCATGTATTGATAGATTTCATAAATCTCTTCATTTAAAAAAATTGTGCAGACCTTGATGCTTTCTGAGCTTGGTTGCTTGCTTGCAGATATTCCATTACCTAGTTAGTTGGATGATAAAACATCTTCAAGCAAACAATCAAGCTCAGAGAGTACTAAGGACTCTACAATTCAACCTTGAGCTTCAGATATTATCATCTATTCCTGTAATGGCGAATCTATGGCACATGTGCCACAGGTGGAACGTGGAGCCATATCTGTGGGCACGTGAGCTTTGCCCTAGCTCAGCTTCAGCGTGCATGTGCGCCAGTGATGAAATGTAAAATTTGTTACTACCAGTTCTGTGGGCATGGCTTGGTGGTGGTGGGGGCAATATGACTGAGTGGGTGTGGTGAACTTTTTTTAAAAAAAACTTTTAAAACCATTTTTTCTACAACCTCTTCGGTTGAAGAGGTTGTAAAAAAATGCTTTTAAAGCCTCTGACGATCCCAGCTGACTTGCCTGATCAGCAGAAGCTTTTTTTTTTTTTAAAGCCTCTGATGATCCCACCTGACGTGCCTGATCGGCAGAGGCTTTTTTTCCTTTTAAAAACATTTTTTCTATAACTTCTTCGGCCAAAGAGGTTGTAGAAAAAATGCTTTTAAAAGTCTCTGATGATCCCAGCTGAGCCGCACGATCATCAGAGGCTTTGGTTTTTTTACTTTAAAAGTATTTTTTCGGCCAAAAAGGTTGTAGAAAAAATGCTCTTAAAAATAAAAGAAAAGCCTCTGATGATTACGCGGCTCAGCTGGGCAATGGGAGGGGCAGGGATATTTGCTACCGGTTCTCCGAACCACCCGCCTCCATCGCTACCGGATCGGGTGATCCGGTCCAAACTGGGAGCATTTCACCCCTGATGTGCGTGCCAGCCAGCTGATTTTTGGGCCTTCTGGTCCCATCGGAAGTTGGGAAATGGGCTGTTTCCAGCCTCCGGAGCAGGGATGAAATCCAGCAGATTCTGACAGGTTCTGAAACACCGGTAGTGGAAATTTTGAGCAGTTCAGAGAACCGGCAAATATCACCTCTGGCTGGCCCCATAGTGGGGTGGGAATGGAGATTTTGCAATATCCTTCCCCCAGGAGTGGGGAGGGAATGGGGATTTCGCAGTATCCTTCCCCTGGAGTCGGGTGGGAATGGAGATTTTGCGGTATCCTTGCCCTGCCATGCCCACCAAGCCATGCCCACCAAGCCACCCCATGCCTACCAAGCCATGCCCACAAAACGGATAGTAAAAAAAAATTGGATTTCACCACTGCTCTGGAGGGCCTCCGGATGGTGGTGGGGAAGGCCGTTTTCGCCCTCCCCAGGCTCCTAGAAAGGCTCTGGAACCTGGGGAGAGCAAAAAACGAGTCTCCAGTCCCACCAGAAGTCGGGAAATGGGCCGTTTCCACCTTCCAGAGGGCCTCCGGGGGGTGGAAAAGGCTGTTTTCGCCTTCCCCAGGCTCCAAGAAAGCCTCTTTGGGCCTACTGCGCCCACTGGTAACCTTTTTGCCATTGCGTGCCAAAAGATGGGGGAGCGTGGGAGGTCATGCACATCCATGGGGGGGGCATGGGAATATTGAATTATGGGTGTGGGCATGTGTGCGCATGACTCCCCGCGCTCTCCCTGCTTTTGGCATGTGACAGCAAAAAGGTTAGCCATCACTGTTCTATTCTGTTTGAAAAACTGCAATAGTCTATTGCCTTGAAAATCTTTGATATTGGCAGGTGTTTTGAGATTCAGTTTTGTTATGGAAGTGGAAAGAGTAAAAAAAAAAGATTCTTTCCAAAGTATTACCTTATTTTGAAAGGGCAATATTTATATGCTTTTGTACAAATTCTTACAAGTTAGAAACCACTCTATTATTAGTCTTTAGTAAATTATAAAGTTGGCATTTGGACTAATTCTTGTTTCTCTATTTTAATGTTAACCAACAATTTCATAGATCTATTTTTGAATTAAAACTGCCAAAATTGAGTAGAATAAATAGAGCTATTTAGGAAGCTTGTATATGGTTATGAGAAATGGTTTTCCATACTGTTATCCTATTGTACATTCCAGATGGGTGTTGTAAGTTACCTGGAAAACCCAAATGAAGGAGATGGAAGCATTTTCTCACCCAGCAAGAACGCAACAATTCCACTTACTCCAGCATTTCCTGTATCACCAGAGACTCCCTATGGTATGTGGACATGACTGTTTTGGAATGATGGCTTCCTTATTTCTTTAATGAAAATTTATAACTCACAATAATCACTTAAGGTCAGGGGTGAAATCTAAATTTTTTTGCTACCGGTTCTGTGGGTGTGGTTTAATTAGTGGGCGTGGCTTGGTGGTAAGGTGACTGAGAGGGTGTGGCTTGTTGGTCAAGTGGGCGAGGCCAAGTCAATGTCATTTCTTTGCCCTTTTTTAACCTATAAAACACAACACAACACAACTGGCTCACCCACAATATAAAAGCAGCTGTGCTAGACCCAAAATGGCCCCTGCAACAAGCAGGAACCTCACACAGCCACAAAAAGCCCAAAAAACCAACTTTCACACTTTACATGCACAAAATTCCACATACAGCTTTGTGAGATTTTGTGTGTTTGTGTAGTTAGAGTGAAACACTACAGAAACACACTAAATCTCAGAAAGCTGCACAAATATTATTTTATTTTAATTTATTTTTATTTTTATATAAAAGCAGCTAAATTTAAAACTGCCTAAACTTTAAATGGCTAGGTCTAAAAAAAGTACAACTAAAAAAAACCCCAATTAACTATTTTTTAAAGTTCCCAAAGGGGAAAAAAACTTACCCAATAGAACAGGGGTCTCCAACCTTGGCAACTTTAAGACTTGTAGACTTCAACTCCCAGAATTCCTCAGCCAGCTTTGCTTTGCTGGCTGAGGAATTCTGGGAGTTGAAGTCCACAACTCCCTGCCTGCTTGATTGCAGGCAGAGAGATGCAGTTGCTTGCTGATGCAATTGATTGCAGGGATTACAGCAAGGCGTTGCGACCAGCAGCTAAGGTAAGCAAGCTGAGGGGGGTGGAGGGGGAGGGATCGTCAGAGCCATTTAAAAGGAAAAAAGTTTTTTTCTTTTACATGGCTCTGGCGATCCAACTGAGTTGCCTGATTAGCAGACAACTCAGCTGGGATCGTCAGAGCTTGGTTCCTCAAAGCCATTTTAAAGAGAAAAAAGCCTCTGATGATTGTGCGACTCAGCTGGGCATGGCGGGCGGGGGCGGGGATTTTTGCTACCGGTTCTCCGAACTGCCCACCACCATCACTACCTACTTGCCCGAGCCATTCCGAACCGGGAGCATTTCACCCCTGCTTAAGGTGATAGTGAGACAGTGCCTAAATTTGATTTTAAAAATAAATAATAGAAGGTTTGTTTTATTATTCACATTATATAGTTAGAACTCTTTTGCAATACCAGCAACTGAATCCAACTGATCATAGGAGATATGTCCCATCAGAGAATTGCAAAACTGATTTTGGTAAGAGAGTCAATTGAACTTTTCAATAAATTAATTTGAAGTCTGTATAAATACATTTACAAATTTAATTTTTATTGTTATTATCTTTTGCAAATTTTACATAGGTAGGGTGAATTCTCATCTTGATTGACTAGGTCTTTCATGAAAAGTTGCTCCAGTTTCTTAAACTGTTCGTTTTGCATTTAAATAGTAGGTAAAACAAGGCTAATAAGATGCAGCCTGCAAGAGGCAAGGCAATGTTGCAAGGTGGGCACGATTGTAGCAAAAAGTGCTCCAATGACTCAGGATTTTCTGGGTAAACTATGTTAAGTCTATTTTTAAATCTACAGTTGTGGGGGTTTTTTTCTTGCTTCAAAATGCCTCCAAACAATGCCATCAATTTTCACAAATTTTGTTGGAAGAACTCTGGAATGTACAAAAATAAACTCTGAGGTCCATGAGGCCCTCAGGTCATATATGCTCTAAACTGTCAGACACTTTTGCAAGTTAATTGCAGTCCTATGAAGGTTTTGAAGACTATAAGAATCCTTGTTTAAATCAGAAGTTGTTATTTTGTCATTAACTTGGCTAAAATTATTTTCTGTATATACTTTGCTCTATTTCTCTCTCTCTCTCTCTCTCTCTCTGTGTGTGTGTGTGTGTTTGTGTTTGTGTGTTTGTCTGTGTCTGTGTCTTTATTGAGTCTTAAAATACAAACCAACATAAAAAAGAGGAAAGTGAGAAAAAATAAGGAATATGCGCTGCAGTCCATAAATTCTTGCCGTTCAAATATTTTGAATGACTTTGTTGGTTTAGACTTTTGAGAACTGAAATCCCAAAAAGTTGGAGTAAAGTGCTCTTCCTTATCCCAATCTTTTAGTTGATATTGCCTCGGTGAAAGGCAATTCAAACTATTCCTTGGTTTAACAGGCAGGCAGTAGGAAGAATCTCCAGGACTACATAATTGGGCATGTTGGTAATAGTTTGATTGTTTCTGTTGGTATTTTTCCTTTTTCCTTATTAACAAAACATGTTTGTCATTGCTGTTCTGTACATGTTCAGTCAAGCCAAAAGCTTTATATTTCACATACCAAGATAAGTTATCACATAATAAAGAAGAATACAGAAAATAATGCAACCAGAATATTTCTCTAAGAAGTATTTCATCTTATATATTTTTAATCATCATACAATCTTAATTTTAGATTAATCTGTTACTGTTCAGTATGAAAACTTAAACATTAAAATTTTCCACCTGTATTGCCACCTTTTATACAGCTCTTATTTTATATGCTTACTAGACAACCCATGCCCTATTGTGTCATTGTTTCAGGGATAATTCTTTATCTAAACAGAGAAACTAAATGACCACAGGTGGACAAAAAGGAGTGAGCAGGAGTGATTTCCAACTTCCTTCTGGGTTCCTGATTGAATTTCCTTGGGGGAAACTGGCAGAATACATCAGAAATCTTCCTCCCACTTTCCCTCCGTTCCTTTTGTCTACACTACCTTCTTTCCATCCTTCCCTGTCTCTCTCCCTGCCTTCCACCCTTCCTTTCTTATTTTTATTTATTTACTAGCTGTACCCGGCCACGCGTTGCTGTGGCCCAGTCTGGTGCTTCCGCTGGGCTAAAAGAGCGAGGCTGAAGTTCCAAACTCTCCACGAACATTTGATGGGCGTGGCCAACTCGACGTCATTCACTTTTATCAGTCACATGACAGCCCCCAAACCATGCCTACCCAGCTGGTGATTAGGGCAGAGAACCGGTTACTAAAAAACAATGGGAACCACAAAATCCTCCCTCTCTGTCTCCCCCTCTCTTTGTATCTCTCTATTTCTCTCTCTCTCCCCCGTCTGTATCTCTCTATGTCTCTCTCTCTCCCCCTCTCTCTGTATCTCTCTATGTCTCTCTCTCCCCCCTCTGTATCTTTCTATGTCTCTCTCTCCCCCTCTGTATCTCTCTATGTGTCTCTCTCTCCCCCTCTCTCTGTATCTCTATGTCTCTCTCTCCCCCCCCCTCTCTGTATCTCTCTCTGTCTCTCTCCCACCCTCTCTCTCTGTATCTCTATATGTGTCTCTCTTCCCCCCCCCCCCGTCTCTCTGAATTTCTCTATTTATCTCTGTCTCTGGCCCGGCCTCTTCTGCATCCCCTGCCTTACCTTTTCAGGCCAGGTCTTCACAGCTGTCTGCACCACAGCAGAAACTCAGGGCCCCCCTCCATCCTCCCTACACAGATGTTCTCTGGGGGCTCGATGGGGAGACGCATAGCAGGGAAGGGAAGGGAGGGAGGGAGGGGGTGCGGTGGGGGTTCGAGGCTGGTTTGGGGCTTCCTGGCTGAAGGAAGAAAGCGGCAAAGGCAGACGGCACGCACACCCCACTGGACCCCTGCTGCGCAGTTCTCCTCCCCCACCTGCCAAGGGCAGGGGAATGATTAAATCCCCCGCTCTTCCAGGCAAAACGAAGGAGGGCTGGCCATCCTCCCTCTTGGCCGTTTCCATCTCCCGAAGCCTCCCTGGAGTCCCTTTTCTGCCAGAGGCTGAAATTTTCATATAGGCTCCATGAACTGCCAGAGCGCCCACCTGGAATCAAAGGCGGCACAGGTCAAAGGTGACTCAGAGGCTCCAGTTGCCTCCATCTCCCGCTCACTGACCGGATATGCATAGCGCCAGTTGGTGGCTGGTCTTTCTGACCTCGGGGCCCGTGGTAGTGCTGGGCCAGGCACGATTCGGGCCAGGCGAGGGATGGAGGGTTCCTGCTCGGCGGACCCAGGCAGCCACGTTGCCAGGTGTTCTTTGGAGGGAGCCCCGAGAGTGGCTGGCGAGGGGAATGGGCAGCAGCGGCGGGTGAGGCTAGTTCATGGGGGGCCGGGGGAGGGGGAGGTCAGAGCCAGGCTCGGGCGGGCCCCACCCAGCCTTAGAAGCGCCGGCTGTGAGGGCTTCCCAGCGGGGAGCCGGCTGCCTACCTGCCAAGCCTGGTGGCAGGATATGGCCCTCGGGTGTCTCTGTGTTCCAAATGCGCAGTGGAGAGTCTAAATATAAGGAGCAGAAATCTGTTGAGCGTAATCAGGGCTGGGAGGCTGCCATGTTGGTTTTACGTCCAGCAGATGGTGCTGTTTTTCAATGTTTTTCAGTGTTTCTCAATGTCTTTCAATTTCAGCCAGTTTGCAATGTTTTTCATGTTTTTACCTGTCACAGGTGTGACATGTATATAATATAGGTATATAACAACACACCTGTAGTCGAATGCAACATTGTGTCAAAATTTGAAAGCAATCGGTGAAGAACTTTTGGAAATGTGCGGTTATGTACAAATGAACATTTACATTTTTATTTATATAGATTTACATATTTATTTATTCAATTGATTTTCCATCCATCTTGTTTTGAAGTGACTCCGGATGGCATTAAAAGCATTAAAACCATAATATAAATATTTCCAAAACAATAAAAAATGAGTTATTATCAAAGATAAAATTATAGTTAAAGAATGAGAGAGGGAGGTGGGATTGCGTCTTAATCATCAATCACCTCCAATGTGATACTGCACTATTGGGCCCTCAAGCCATCTGACAGAGCCTGATCAAGCCTTTATAGAATGTGAGAAGAGTGGAGCCAATCTCATCTCAGGGGTAAGATGTTCCAAACGGCAAGAGCCACAACAGAAAAGGTTCTTGTCTTGGGCTCTGACAGCCAAAATTACTTGACTGAAAGGATC